TTGTTGAAGCAGAGAGAACAGGAAGTGACAGAGCGTGTTGATGAGCGGGCATCAAACCTGTGACTCCATGATACTAATATATAATAATACAATATACATATACTATTGTACAATAAAACATAATGCTATACTAACTTATTGAAACTCTTCATTATGACCTTACTGTGTTTTGTTTCTAGTGGGACAAAAAGTTGTCCGTCCTCTGTCGTCACGGGGTCATTTATTTTACTTTATTTTGGGGTCAAGTGTCGCACAGGAAATCACTGCGTGCCGGAGACAGACGCAGTCTGAGGCCGTCAGAGGGCGGCGCGCACGTGTTATCTCACAGTACATACATGTTTGAATGCACATTTACAAAATGTAAAGGCAGACAGGATGTCATACTAAAGATTTTCAAAATAAATATTTGTTCAGTGTTCATGTCTTAATAATTCATAATTCATGTCAATATATATCAGCTGCTGCTCACTTCCTTCTCACCGATCAACTTCCTCCTTAAGTTTGTTCCTGAAACTGTGGCGTTCAGAGACCTACATGAAGGATTTTCATCGTCAAAAAAATAAATATTTAAATGAATAAATAACGTCTATTCCTAACCACGATTCCTCGACCTCTGTGGAAGACGTCACGGGGTCGAGGTTAGGAGGTTAGGAGGCTTCATGAGGACTTAGGAGAGGAGCTGCGTCGTTGTGATGGACGGAGACGCCTGTCAGGGACGTCAGTCTGCAGCGGCTACAAAGACGCGTCTCCTGCTTCATGTGTTGTTATTGTGAGTCGTGCAGACGCACAAACAACCCGGTTCAGAGGAACAAACGAGTGATGCTAACGGTTAGTCACATGATCTGTTTCCACGGCATCATCCTTGTTTCTCCTGAACGGACCAATGACGCGTCTCTATTTAAATATTCTCAAGGTCAAACAGTTGTCAGGAATAAACAATAGGTCATTTTTGGACAATTCAAATCCACCCAGGAAACATGCTGCTCCATGGACTCCACATATGAAGCTAGTTAGCTTAGCAAAGGGAAACAGTCAGTTCCTCATAAACATTATGTGTATTTTAATGTTTAATTTGTACAAAAACTAAAAACAAAAAGTGTGAAAAGCATTTATATCTATTTCCCTCTTTTTAAACACAAGTTCAACTACATACTACACACACAACAACATCACCTTCATCTGTGTGTGTGTGTGTGTGTCTCTTTGTGTGCCTGTTTGTTTGTCCGTGTGTGTCAGTCTAATTGTGTGTGTGTGTGTGTGTGTGTGCGTGTGTG